TACCTATTTTAAATGTGGTGGAGCTTCCCTTGGTGTTGGCATGCAACACCATGCCGCTGATGGTTTCTCTGGTCTCCATTTCATCAATACATGGTCTGATATGGCCCGTGGTCTCGACCTTACCATTCCACCCTTCATTGACCGAACCCTCCTCCGCGCTAGGGACCCTCCCCAGCCAGCTTTCCATCATGTTGAATACCAGCCTGCCCCCACTATGAGGATCCCTCTCGATCCCTCCAAATCAGGCCCTGACAATACCACCGTCTCCATCTTCAAATTGTCACGCGACCAGCTTCTCGCTCTCAAGGCTAAATCCAAGGATGATGCCAACACTGTCAGCTACAGCTCCTACGAGATGTTGGCAGGTCATGTGTGGAGATCAGTGGGGAAGGCCCGCGGGCTTCCTGACGACCAAGAGACCAAGCTGTACATTGCAACCGATGGAAGGTCGAGACTGCGCCCGCAGCTGCCCCCTGGTTACTTTGGCAACGTCATATTCACTGCCACACCACTGGCCGTTGCAGGGGATCTGCTATCGAAGCCAACATGGTATGCTGCAGGACTTATTCACGATGTTTTGGCTCGCATGGACGATAACTATCTGAGGTCAGCTCTTGACTACCTGGAGATGCAGCCTGATCTTTCTGCCCTGGTCCGCGGTGCACATACCTACAAATGCCCCAACTTGGGAATCACCAGCTGGGTCAGATTACCCATTTACGATGCAGACTTTGGTTGGGGTCGTCCCATATTTATGGGGCCTGGTGGAATCCCATACGAGGGTTTGTCCTTTGTGCTACCAAGCCCTACAAACGATGGCAGCTTATCCGTCGCCATTGCTCTCCAAACCGAACACATGAAACTGTTTGAGAAGCTTTTGTACGATATATGAGAAGAAAACCCTTCCTTTTTCCCAACTTCCTGAGATAAATTGGGCTTTTTGCTTGATTCATTATCCTGTCTTTTAGAGGGTGCAACAAATCATGCCCACATAAGTTGTGCTTATGCTCTGTAACATTTGGACGATCACATGAGAACATTTGTTCTATGTTTATACTGCTGATAAGTGTTGTCTTACGACACAATGTTGTCTGGTATCCGATTGGTTGTCTATATTCTCTTGTCACTTGTCAGGTTTTCAGTTGTCCTGCAACAACTGTTTCGAACTTTCTATCTTCTGCCGCTGTGTTAGTGGTCCGGTAGTCAATGGTTATATACGCCCGTAAGAGTCGACATAATCAATGATTACAGATCCATAGGCTACTTAATAACTATTAATTCTCAGAATGGAAATCATCAAGCAAGGAGTGAAGGGAATAATATACCAGAGTAGAGTACTTATTTGTATGTGATACAGTTATTATAATGGCGTGGAGGTTGTATAATTGGAAGGGCATGTATTTTTGTTGGCAATATATAAATGAGCGAAGATTTTGTCATTATTTATTAGTTAAGATGATGAGAATAAATGATTGATTACATTTCGGCCTCTCACATCTCCTGGTGGTTTAGGCCTTGTGCTCGATAAGGTGATGATTGGGGTCTGGTATGTCGATGGCATGCCCTCCGGTTGAATGAAGGTGAGGTGCTCGGCTTACGTTTCCAGTCTTGTGAATATCCTCTTCCAAATGGATGTCCTCTTCGACCGTTACCACTCTTGTTTGTTCGCCATGGGGTCCAGGCACTAAGACTTCTTGGACTTTGAAGTGTTCATCAAACTTGATGATTTCAGTCTTTTGAGAAGACGTTCTTCTTTTCTTGAGATAGCAGAAGAGAGCAGCAGCGAGGAACGCAAGAAAAAACAAACTGCCGAGAGAGATAACAACCACAATGATAACAGATGAATGGTGCCC